TTCAGATTTTCCGCATTCTAATCAATAGTGAATCAAGCAAAGGGAATTACAACTTGGAACTAACCAAGGAGTAGGGGTGGCCGTTCGGTTACCGATTACCGGTTAACTGGCCGGTTATCCACTAACCGATAACCAAAGTAACCGGACTTTGGTCGGTTATCGGAGGTTGGACGAAATGGTTTTTGGTCTTAAAAGTGGTTTGGTTAACCGATAACCGAGATAACCGAGAAACCGAAGCCTATTTTAGTCTGTTTTCGGTAGAGGGGGTGGTTATTTCGGTTAACCGATAACCGGCCGATCGGTTACCGATTATAACCGAAATAATCGAACTACCACCCCTTCTAAGGAGCTAGGGGGACTCATTCCCGAGTTACTCTTCTCTTGCTTCCGAAAATCAATAACTTACTGCTTTCTTTATGCTTTAGTTTAAATTCAAATTTCACTCAACTAGTCCCACTAGATAATAGAAGTTCACGGAGTAGGCAGTAGATCTAGACCCCAGGTTGATAAATTAAACTTACCCACTATTCTGCATTTCCATTCTGCGATTATACTTAGTCGCAATTTGGTGTTGTGTTTTAGCGTGTCAACGACGTCAACCACCAAACGCCCCCTTAACTCATCTTTTCTTTTTTTTTATGATTTACATAGTCACACTTACTTAATTTCATTCACATTCCAGAAGTATAAACTATCGAGATCATCTCACAACATAACTATCACCGTCCTAGTGAGTTCTTAACAATAAAACTAACACTATTACTATCACCTTCCTAGTGAGTTTCTTAACAGTAAAGTGAGTCCAAACCAACAACGCAACACAATGCTTTACTAGAAACAAACACCCATGTTGTCATACTAAGCAAGACTAGATAAGATTAACAAGCACACCCTCCTAACTGGGTTTGGGCTTGAGACGTGTTTGTGTTCGAAGACTTGAGGTTCACGTCAACCATATCCTCTTGCTTAGCTGATGAAAGTGTCTCCATCCTAGGCAGGGCAGCCGCAATCTTTCAAAACAGCGGCTGAATGACACAACAATATAAGGAGAAAGAACCGACGACTTAAAGCCCAACTAATAACTTACTGACCTTTATATTGAAGCTCGCTTTTGCGCTATTTAAATGAACATCACGTTCATCTCGCGAGCTTTAAACTCACCTTCTTCTATTGAGACTTGCCAATAAGAAAACTAAAATTTAATAAATCAAAAGCAATCTTTTCTAGTCAAATCCTGTCACAGAAAATGATCACATCTTATGAACGACAAGATCAATCTTATAACCGACCAGTACAATTATAACATTATTGACTTGTTCAATGCGAACCTCTTCAATCCACTTAGAAGTGAACGGTCATTTCTCCTAGATCCACTACTTGGCATGATCCCGACTTGGAACTAGAGCTCTCGCCAAAATAGTTAGGAGGTATCTTGTGCATTGGTTGATGTTGAAAGCTGCTAAATGATCTAGAAAGTCCTATGCTGATGATCGTGGTTGCATGTTGCTATAAAGGTCTAGTGAGTTGCATTGGTTTGATTCAGGTTTGCTTGGTGAGAAGAAAATAGTTAAGTGTGGGAGAATTTGATAACACTAAATTTGCACATGTTTTTTGGATTCTTGATCGTTTAAGCTTGTGTTGCCCCTCCTGTGACCTATTTATGCTAGGTTGTGCTAGTTTATAATTTCAGGTGTTCGTACGTAAATGAGTGATTGGGAGAAATTTTTGAGACAATTTGGAACGACCTGGCAGAGGATCAAGGGAAAGTTATGGCCATGCTTCCAAATTTACGGCAAGGCCCGTAACTTCCTAGTCCAGCCCGTAAGGTCAAGGAAAAGAAGCAGGAGGCCACTTCAAAGTTACGGCCCAAGTGTCAAAGTTGCGACATTGACCGTAACTTCCGATTGAAGACCGTAACTCTTGGTTTACGGTGCACAGACACGTCGACGTTTTGGTGGGAGTTATGGGCTGGAGAAGCTAGTTATGGCCGTAACTTTTGCCGTAACCCGCGAATCTCCAGTGTATAAAGGGGTGACTCGGGAAAATTGAGAAGGATCCAATTTTTACCTTTAAGAACGAATAATCGAGCTCTAGAAAGAGATAGTGACGAAGAACAACACTCGGGGAGTCGATTTGAGCCACCAAAAAGCATTGGAGCTCGATTCCTTCCTTGTGGAGTATCGATTGACAATTCAGAGATGATTCCTTGCATCTACACGATGATGACCTTCTCCAGCAATGCATTTTCTTCTCTCTCCATGAGTAATCTCCTCTTACGCTTGAGTATGAAGAACCCTACAACTGCATGTTAGCAATAGTTATATGAACCCGTTTCTATTACATTGATAATTATATATTCAATTGAGCCATTATTCAAAAATCTATGAGTCTTGATCAAACTTGTATGTTTCCAGCTTTGACCTAGAACGATAGTCTCTGAATAGGTCAATAGAGCAACATGAATTGGAAGTAGTGAATTGATTATGCCAGAGTCAATCGATTCACTGCTTTGTACTAAGATTCTTTCCAATTGAGGAGATCTATGTTTACTGCCTTAGCATTTTATCCAGGTAGAGGTTAGTTGCTCGCTTGGTACTGTGTTTAAGAGAACTTGGTCAGCTTAAGAGATTCCAAGCTAGTTTCAGATCTTCCGTAGTATAATTATCAATTGGATTGAATTGGGTGAATTAGTACCTGAGTGGTTCTTTATTGAACTTGAAAAGCAGAAGATTTTCTTGCTTTCTTTATGCTTTTTTTTACAATCAACTTCACCCAATTTCGACCCCTAGATTAGAATTTCACTGAGTAACCAGTACACCTAGGACCCAGGTTAACATTTAGAACCTGAACCAATATACTACATTCCTAGGTTGCGATTACACTTGGTCGTAATTTATTTTTGTTGGTATTGGCATGTCAAATGTCAACATGCATAGAAAGCCTTTGCAATTTGAAGCTAGAAAGGTCCCTTCCAAATGATTTTGAAGGTTGGTAGTAATGCCTACAAGATTGATTTACTAGGAGAGTATGGGTTAAGTGCAACCCTCAACTTTCATGATCTTTCACCATATTTGGATGGTAAATCGGATTTGAGGGAAAATCTTTTTCAAGAGGGAGAGACTGATGAGGTCATCAAGACCAAGACTATTACCACCAAAAAAGGTCCTCTTACATGTTCAAAGGCCAAGAAGTTAAGGGAACAATATGCAAATTACTTGAGCAACTATTTTGCTAGCATGGACGTGGATCTACTTAAAGGGAGCCCATAATGATGATGCAATTTATTAAAGGAGATAGTGTGATGGGCTTGGAGGAAGGTGACGACAATGGGTTGAAGGAAGGGCTTTTGAGGAGTCCTTAGCCCAAAAGAATTATCATGTCCTTAGCCTAGAAGGAATGAAGACTTAATCAAATCCTTTGTGGAGTGGGAGTTGTAATTTTCGGATTTATTTGTTTTTCTTTCTAAAGTTATTTTGCTTTCATTGTTAGTTTTTTATTTAGATAATGTAGGCTATTTAAAGGGGCCAAATTTCATTATAATGGACATCAAGTTTTCAAGAATAATTGAAGGGTTAATTCTTGTGTTCCTTAGTGAACATTTTGCCCAAATCTTCTGTCAAGGAGTCCAGGAGTTTGTGCTTCTCTTATCAACTAAAAGATCACATCTAATTGTGCGCGAGTTCTACCCAAATCAGTTAACCCTTCTCATAAGTTGAGATTGTTTGACGATTTCCCGTTTTTATCCTTTGGTTTGAGTGAAGTTTCGAGAAGATAGAAGTTGGATGCGTACATTGGTAGCCTTTGATTCCAGGAGTTCGAGCCTCGATTCATATCAAAAACATTTCTCTCTGTCCAAATGTTCCAAATAATAGCCATACACCAAAAACAAAGAGGGATTTGTTGCACAATATCGCCGTCACTCTGTTTAAGCAATTCCTTTAACCAACTCTGAATATCCATAGAGATAGAGCTAGCTGCCCACCGTGATTCGGCAAAACGACAATCTCTAATATCAACGGGAGGTTGTTACGATACATCTAACAATGATACCCATCAAATGCGCCATGTTCTTGGATCAACAAGATAGTGGCTAAATGTTTGGGCAACCCCACTGAATGATACATCTAATGTTGTATGGCTTGCGAAGAAGCCCAAAATAGAGGTTGGACGTTTTGAAATACATCTACAGACTATATGCATCAAAATTTTTAATAAACTACGCAATGGAGCATCCAACAGACCAACCTCAAATCAATCCAGATAAAGGTTTTGTGACTTATTACCTCTCAGTGATCTCCTTCTCATGTCAAGTAGTGGAAGGAGGGGTTGGTTTAGACACAACTTAAAAAAAACTCCACCATCTCGAAACTTATCCACTCGAAAAAGGCATTCACTCATCATATGCGTAAGAGTTCCGTACTTCTAGAGCACGAAAGCCAATTTGAGGGCGATCTAACTCTAGTACTCAACCTTGAGGGCAGGGTTGCTTCCAAGGGAAAAGGAATGATAGAAACCTGATCAGTCGGATTACTAACATTCAATCTCAAGGTTGCTTACAAGGGAAAAGGAATCACAGAAACCTGATCAGTCGTGTTACTAACATTCGATTTATTATTATGCACGTATTTGGGATTTTGATATTTGGTTGTACATTTCAATTTAGTATTTTTAGGGGTATATGGGAGTTATTTAATTATTTCGGAATAGGATAAAAGTATGGGCAGTTGTATGGTAATTGTCGGAATCATAAATATTCTGTAACTGAACCGCTATTCGTCGCACTAATATTTAAATTATTCCGCCCTAAATTGTACTAAATTAACATTTATACCCCTAGACCCTATTTCAATCATTAACATTTATCGTACCTTCAATTGGGGGTGGCTTCGGATCGATCTCCTATACTCGTTCTAATCGAGCAAGTATATTGCGGATTTGGGATTGGCTTTGGCTCGGTCGCCTCTGCTGTGGGTTGCTTCTGGATTCCTCTGCTAGTGACGATGAGGGATGGTGGTCAAGCATCGCTCGGACTGGGTTCCTTCTCAGAATATCCTTATGGCTTTGATTTTCTCTGTTCTATGCGAAGAACAAAGATAAAAGGAAGGATGAAGGCGGCAGCGGCAGGGAAGGCCATAAGGCAGGGAACACGGCGGGAGCGGGAGGCGAGAGGTGGGGAGCTAGGTGTGGGTGGTGGTGAACTGAATCTATGGGGAGGTGAGCAGGTGGTGGGGTGAAATCTACATCTTGCTCCGTTCGTCGATTGAGAGTGGCCGGCGGAGTTGGGGTTGAATGAAGGTGGGTTTCTGGGAAGAGGAAAAGAGAAAATGGGGAGGGGCTGTTGAATCTTGTAAAAGGAAATGGTCTACTTTTTCTCATTATTCAGAAAGGTGAAAAAAATACATTGTCCTTATTACACATTTATATATATCTGTATATTAGTAAATAACAGAATAATACAACAAGAAACAAATATTACAATTTAGTTCCTATACTATTGTTTTATTACAACGGAGTCCTCCAACACCCCCTCGCAAGCTGGAGCGTGAATGTCAATCCGATTCAGCTTGGAGATGAGTCCTGTGAAAACAACACTTGACAAAGACTTTGTAAAAATGTCAGCAAGTTGATTCTCACTGCTGATAAACAACACTTTTATCAAACCTGACAAGATTCTATCACGAATAAGATGACAATCGATCTCAATATGTTTTGTACGCTCATGAGCAACCGGATTTTCAGCTAAACGAATAGTAGATTGGTTATCACAGAATAACACAGTAGGAGAGTTAAATGAAACACCTAAATCCTGGAAAATGTAATGTAACCACTGTACCTCACATGTTAAATCTGCCATGGCTCGGTATTCGGCTTCAGTGGAGGATCTAGAAACAGTAGGCTGCTTCTTGGATCTCCAACTAATAATCGAATCACCTAAAAACACACAATAACCAGTAACAGAGCGCCTAGAATCCAGGCATCCAGCCCAATCACTATATGAAAAACCAGTCAGTTTGATAGAAGAGTTGCTAGGAAAGAAAAGGCCTTGTCCTGGGTTATTCTTAAGATATCTAAGGACTCGATGGGCTGCATTAAGATGTACATCAGTTGGAGCACTCATGAATTGAGTAAGATGATGCACAGCATACACTATATCAGGACGTGTATGACACAAGTATAGCAAACGTCCTACAAGTCTACGATAAAGTTCTGGGTCAGAAAGTGGATTACCATCAGTCGTTGAGAGCTGGCTGCCAGCTACAAGAGGTGTGGCAGCAGGCTTAGCACCAAGCAAACCTGCATCTTTGAGTAAGTCCAGAGCATATTTTCGCTGACATATGGAAAACCCAGCAGTGTTTCGAGCAATCTTTAGCCCTAGAAAGTATTTAAGTGGTCCTAAGTCTTTAATTTTGAATGCATCATCTAGCTGTGTTTTAAGCAAGGTAATAGCATCTAAATCATCACCAGCTAGAATAACATCATCCACATACACTAGGACAGCAAGAGATTTACCCATACTTGACTTAGTGAACAAAGAATAATCAGCCTTAGACTGTGTATATCCAGCACAAACAAGAAACTGAGTAATTTTATGATTCCACTGTCGACTAGCCTGTTTAAGACCATATAATGACTTATTAAGTTTGCATACTAGATTTTTCGAAGGTAAATGTAAACCTGGGGGCGGTTTCATGTATACTTCCTCAACCAAATCACCGTGTAAAAAAGCATTATTAACATCAAGTTGCTGTACATGCCAGTTTTTAATGGAAGCAAGAGCAAGTAAAGCACGAACAGTAGTAAGTTTTGCTACGGGAGAAAATGTTTCTAAATAATCTATGCCTGGAGTTTGAGTATAGCCTTTGGCAACTAACCTAGCTTTATATCTCTCTATACTACCATCAGGTTTAAACTTAATACGAAATACCCACTTATTACCAATAGCATGCTTACCTGGAGGCAGTGGAGTTAGAGTCCAAGTGTTGGTGTTTGCCAACGCTAGGAGCTCTAAATCTATAGCCTCAACCCACCTAGGGTCCTTAGCAGCCTCAGTATATGTAGCTGGTTCTGTTTCATTAGTTACAGCCATAATAAATCTTCTATAGATGGGTGACAACCTGTCATAAGATAAAACACTAGACAAAGGATATTTAGTAGTATTAGTAGGCAGTATATAATCACTTAGTTTCTTTGGGGGAACTCTAACTCTATCTGACCGCCTAACTGGTAAGGTACTGCTAGGTTGTTATTGAGGTAAGGAAGCTGTTTGAGAGGGAATAGGAATGTCGGCCAGATTGCAAGCAGATGGAGTGATAGAAGGGGAAAGAGAGGATGAAGGCAGAGATGTATTGCCTAAGCAAGAGGGAATGGACTGAGAAACAGGACAGTCAAGTGGCTGAATATCTATAAAGGGAAGAGCCTGATCAAGACTAGAAAGAGACAGATCACTAGTAGAAAATGGAAATATATGTTCATGGAATGAGACATCTCTAGATTCCAAAAATTTATGAGAAATGAGACTATAAAGCTTGTAACCTTTAGTAGCAAAAGGAAATCCTAGGAAGACACAAGGTTCTGCCCGTGGGGAAAACTTAGGACGATTGTGAGCTAAAGTAGATGCATAACATAGACTACCAAAGACACGTAACAAACTATAATCTGGTTGTTTGTGAAACAATAGTTCAAATGGAGATTTATTGTTTAGGACTGGAGTAGGTAACCGGTTAATAATATGGACAGCATGCAACACAGCATGTCCCCAAAATTTAACCGGGAGAGAAGCTTGCATTAGAATAGCCCTAGCAACAGCAATAATGTGCTGTTGTTTGCGCTCTACACGGCCATTTTGCTGTGAAGTAGCATTACAGGTAGTTTGGTGAATGATACCTAAGGAAATATAAAAGGATGGCATATGAAATTCAGATCCATTATCTGTCCTAATAGCCTTAATCTGTTTGGAAAATTGAGTTTGGACATAAGCACAGAAGTTTTGGACAAGAGACCTAGCTTCTGATTTAGCATGCATCAAATAACACCAAGTATTACGAGAATGATCATCAAGGACAGTAAGAAAGTAACGATGACCATCTGTGGTTGGAACACCATATGGTCCCCATATGTCGATATGAACCAAGTCAAACATACAAGCAGCATAAGAAGTGCTAGACTGGAAGGGTAAACGACGCTGCTTAGCAATAGGACAAACAGAACAATGCAAATTTTGACACTTAGTACTACTATTAGACAGACCAGGAACAAAACTATGGCCAAGACGATAATGCCATTTATCAAAGTGTCTTATAGTAGTGTCAAATGCAGCAGACAAAGTAATAGGAAGGGGTAAAGAGGAAGAATCTCGTCCAGATTCGACTTCGAGGTAGTACAGCCCGGCAATCTGCTTAGCTATACCAATCCTCTGCCGGGACGGGATATCCTGAATCAAGCAGTAAGAGTGGGAAAAAATCAATTCACACTCATTTTGCTTAGCTAACTGACTAGCTGACAGCAAATTGAAGGTGAATGATGGAATCATGAGAACATTATGCACAGTTAATGTATTAGACAACCTCACAGACCCTTTGTGTGTAACAGCTATACGAGAACCATTAGGCAAAGTCACAAACATACCACTCAAGGGTGTGAAATCAACAAACAAGTCTAACGAACAAGCCACATGATCGGTAGCACCACTATCGATTATCCATGTATTAATAGACGCACCTAACCGTTCTGGAGGAATAGAGGCAAGAGTATACTTACCTGATGCAGCATAGGCTGCTAGCTGGTTAGGCTGAGTCCACAGAGAAGTAGAGACAGCAGCAGGACCCGAGGAACTCGGCTGGATAGAGCTAGAACCCAGCTGATCAAAACTGGAACTCGGCTGAACAGAGCTGGAACTCGGCTGACCAGACATGAGGCAAGAGACAGAGCTCGATGCTGATGCAGATCCAGCTTGAGCAAGCAGTGTGTGATACTGCTCTGAGGTAAGAACGACTGACTCGCCAGAAGGAACACCAGCAGATGACGGAGCCTGCTCATCAGCAATCGCAGCGTTGACCTTGCCTTTGCCCTTGTAGCCCGGCGGATAACCGTGCTTCTTGAAGCAACGATCCACCGTGTGTCCGACGCCACCACAGTGAGTACAGACAGGTCTCTGCTTCTGACCAGCACCACGACCTTGACCCTGACTCGGACCAGAGGAACGCCCAGCCATAGCCATCGGAGTGACCACCGAAGGAGCACCAGAGGAATGGAGTTGTCGCTCATGCTGAATCACCATGGAAAAGACGCCAGTGATTGGAGGAAGCGGCTCCATGAGTAAGATCTGGCTTCGGATCTGAGAGAAAGAGTCATTGAGACCTTTCAGAAAGCGGATGATCCGATCGGACTGCTGATGAAGACGAACGACGTTGAGAGCACCACAGGAGCACCTCGGAGTACAGGAGCAAGCAGGAAACGGCCTGATAGTCACCAACTCGTCCCAAAGAACGCGAAATCTTGTGAAGTACTCGCTGACTGTGGCCGCTCCTTGCTTGAAAGCAAAAACCTCATCCTGGAGATCTGAGATCCGAATCAGACTTGCTTCGCTGAACCGATCTTGAAGATCTCTCCACACCTCGACTGCCGAATCGAACCAGAGAACACTGTGTGCGATGTCTGGAGCCAAGGAGCGGTAGATCCAGCCAAGAACCATCACGTTGCACCTCTCCCAAGCACCGTGAAGAGGATCGCCAGGAAACGGTGGCGCGACGGCGGGATCGATCAGAGAGAGCTTGTTCTTCGCCAGCAACGCGAGACGCATCGATCTCGCCCATGCATAGTAGTTGTTGCCGTTGAAGACGACGGTGACGAGCGCCGACGCCGGATTATCTCCGGGATTGAGAAAGTAGGGGTGACTAGGATCGAGCAATCCAGCGGGAGGCACGAACGAGAAATTCGCAGTCGCCTGAGATGATTGCTCCGACGAAGTCGCCATTGAAGGAGAACGAAGGAAAGTCGAAGAGAGCGGAAGTTTTGAGAGGAAACCCTAGAACGAAATTGGAAAGTAAGAGAGAGAATCAAGATTTTGACTCCTCTGATACCATGTTGAATCTTGTAAAAGGAAATGGTCTACTTTTTCTCATTAATCAGAAAGGTGAAAAAATACATTGTCCTTATTACACATTTATATATATCTGTATATTAGTAAATAACAGAATAATACAACAAGAAACAAATATTACAATTTAGTTCCTATACTATTGTTTTATTACAACGGAGTCCTCAACAGGGGCCGATGTAGAAGAGGAACAAAAATAATAATTTGGTAAAGTAAATTTTTTTTAATAATATAATTAAATTTAAAATCCACCCTTATATGTCATATAGACGAAATCGGTGGCAACCACAGACGACCGTTGTCCAGTCAGCCATCGTTACGGTTCCGTTATATTAATGGACGGAATGACTATTTCTGTGTATTTTTCAAAACTTGGCTATATTGTCACAAAGTGTAAAGTTATGACTATTGAAGTGAATTTTGACTATTTTTAATGAAAGTTAGGGCGACATAAGGAGTTTTAGAGCGATAAATAGCAATCCCTATCAGTGCAATTTACTCACTAATTTTTTTCCATAATCAGAATTCAACCCTAAACCTATTTTCTCTCTCTTTCTTGGCTACCGCCACCCTCCCCTCTTCTTCCTCAGTATTCTTTCCATTCTAATTCCCAAACCTCTTTTCCAATTCCTAGGAAGATCAATCCCTAATTGATCACTCCTTCCCAATTCATTAACCCGACCCCGGAGCACTGAGATCAGGGTTCTATCAGGAAAAGAGTCCAACCTTACATACAATAAGCAAAACAAAACAACATTATTGACTAGAAAGCCTTCTTATCTTCGTAAACGTATAACCTGAACAGCAAACTGTCCTCAATTTGATAACACTAATCGCTAGTAGTAAGAAGTTCGAGCACAGAAACAAGCAGAACACAACCGCAATATTAAATAATAGGAGGAAACAAAATGGGGAGCACAAGCTTCTGGGGTACTTTACAGAGACTGAATAACGACCACCAGCCACGCAAAACCAGTACCTCAACAAGCACATCCTCCTGACTGGCCTTGGGACTGGGATGCATTCGTATTTGAGGACTTAAGATTCACATCAACCATATCTTCTTGCTTTGTTGATGAAAGTGTTTCCATCCCTGGCAGTGCTGCTGCAATCTTTCTAAACAGGGCCTGAACAAACAATTGTGCCAGAAAATAAGGATCATATTGGAAAGGGTTACCAACTGCTACTCCATCAAGTCCCTCTGATATGAGACACAACCGTACCTTAATATTAAAACCTGCCTTAGCGCTGGTTTCAATAAACATGACATTCAGCTCACGAGCTTTAGCTTCTCCTTCCTCTACCGAAACTTGCCTGTCATTTCACCAGAATTTGAATCCATAATAATTTAAGCAACCACAATCCAAAAGGATGCAACTGCAAGAATATAAGCTTCTCTTCACTTCCCTCCTACAACCCCAGACAAGAAGTTAATTTACCTCATTTCTGAAGTTGTGGTTAATTACTAAACTGGTTTACAAGAGAGAGAGAGAGAGAGAGAGAGAGAGAGAGAGAGAGAACACTAATTCAAATACCCTAATCCTTCACTAAATTGATGTAGCATAGGCAAACCAAATTAAAGCATCCATTGTTAGGGAACATGTGCCATGCAAATTAAGATTCTCGGGGGAGGGGCCACAATATAGAGTCATACAGTCCAACCATTAGAAAGCATAGCAGGCTGCACGCAAGAAGCAATCCTTTCAAAATTAATTCCTAACACACACACAAACCATCACCTTTTGTCAACAAGATCAGTCTTGTTTCCAACCAATACAATAATAACATCGCTTCCCCGCTCGGTACGCACCTCTTCGATCCACTTAGATGTGTTCAGAAATGAATGCCTACCTAAACCGCAGAAAAGGGCACAGATGTCAAATGAATTAGCAGGCAGCATACAGGGGACGGTGAAGGCTACAACGGCCAAGGAAGTGGGAATTGCATGTGCCACAGGAGAGATGATAGAATGAGTTATTAGACACAAAAGAAAATATACATGAAGGAGAAAGGGAGTAGCAGAAGCAAATAAGAAACAACATACTTGCAACATCATAAACAATGACTGCCACAGAGGAATCCCTTATATAGCTTGGAATGAGGCTCCTGAACCGTTCCTGTCCTGCAGTGTCCCTGTAAATATAAATTTTCTCATTTTGAAGAACGTCCACTGACTGTGAAGAGAAGTCTCAGCAATTGTTATCGTCAATCATCTTGCAAAAAAAAGAGATTTTCAAGGCTGCTTAGGATTCATAAGCAGTTTATTAGAGGTTCTCAGCAAGTCTACGTGACGTCAGTAAGCTATTGCTAAGTCCCATTAGGAATTTTTGAGTCCTGACAATTAACAACACTATGTAAGGAACTATTATGCGGGTGGACATTTTCGATCGCATTACGAGTGCTAAACAAGGAAATACCTAAAACAAGCATCCGAAGTTGCTTTCTATCTATCCAAGAAAGATTCAAGTTTTGAAGTACGAACTCCTTGTCCTTCAAAATGCAGTATACTTAAGACCATTAGTCCATTACATAAGAACATCACAGAAATCAGGTTAGGTACTATGTACACATGCATTATGCACACTTTTTGCAAGTGCACAGCACCAGAACTTGCATAAAACAAACAAGGGGAATAGTGCATTAATCTGAAAGCTATAGTCAGGATGATGCAAGGAAGGTTTCCTAAATGGATAAATTCCTTGACGAAAAAACAGGAGTTGCAATATATAGATTATAAGTATCTAAAATAGGGTATGTCAATGAAGGAAATATCTAGCAGAATGAATGTCACATGAACAAGTCTTAACTATTAATATCCAAAACCTCACCATAGCTGCAATCTAACAGTTCTATCTTCAAGGTACATCGTCTTTGAGAGAAAATCAATACCAATGGTAGCCTGGTTATCAAGAAAAGGTCCGATAAAATTAGAATAAAAGAATCGTATTACACAAACAATATCCAGTTTGCTCAGATCTAAAGTTAATCACTTGAACAATTAACTTAACTCAAATAGTTAAGGTGAAAATGCTAGCTCTAGGTCAGAGTGATTCATCGTAGTAGCAAGCACCCCTAACTTCAATCCTAGAGATCATAAGTTCAAGCTAAACATGGGCAGGGAGCAAAAGGGAGATGGGGCTGGGAGGATTATCCTTTCTTTGCCAATCAGAATCAAAATGGAACAAAGCAAACAAGCAGGCATTGAATCACATGACACCATAACAAGCATTGAATCACCGATTTACCAATCAGTCCGTGTAAGCGATGTTATTGGTCACCTACAAAGTTAATGACACTGCTCATGCTAACACGCTAAGTAGCTACTGACCTTCGAATCATTAGGCTTGAGTAACTAGAAAACTGCGAATCACCATCCAAATTCTCTAACGGAATTCTAAGCAGGCGAGTTACTCCCTAATAGTCAAAACTCAAATGAGCAAAAACAGCTAGCCTAGAAAGCACCGGAGAAAAGAAACAAACCGCAACTCTACACGCACCAATCGGGTGGATCAGAGTTCAGAGACGATCTAAATCATGAAATAAACAGGCAGCGCATAATCAGTAACCATTAGCAGTGTGCAACATTCAAATGAACCGAACAAATCAGATCCACGCAAGTAACGAGAACCACAGTTCCGATCGGATCAAACAGGGAGATATGATGCAACCAATTGAAAATTTCGCTCCAGATCGAGCCAGAAATTACCTGATAAGTATTGTCGAACTTATCGTACATGAAGCGAGTGATGATACTGGTTTTACCCACAGACTGATCACCCAAGAATACCAGCTTGTACTTGGCCAGAGCCGAAACTGGAGCCATTATTCCACGCTATCGGACCGAGAATATTTCAGAATTGCAGACCCCGCCGGCAATTGTATGACACTGATGCCGGCAGAGAGATCGACGGAAAAAATCGAGATCCTGATCTCCAGAGAAAAAAAGTAACGCTGTTAATCGGGGATGCACCAAGCTGTTGTTGACTTGGGAGTTTTTTTTGGACGCACGCAATCGGTTGGATTTGATTATAACCGAAAATGTTTAGTCGGGTTCTCGGTTAATCATCAAGGACTTGTGGTTATTGTTAACCGTACCATTTATATTAGTCGATTAACTATAATTGTGTAGTCAGTTCTTGATTATTTTGTCGGTTAATCGGATAACAGTTAAGCAAATTATTCAACAAGATTATACCAAAATAACCGATCGGTAACCTAACCAACAAAAGACCTACTCTTATTTTCAACGGTTCATTTTTGACTTTTTGTAGATTTTTTTCCTACATATCGTGTGTGTATATATAGTTCAGGCTAGCGTACGCCAGGTGTACGTTGTATTCCAACGTTCACACTCGTACGTCTGTCGAGTTCTACTATTTAGAGCACGAATTAATCAGAGATTGAGACATGATACTATACCCTAATCTCTAATAAGTGAACCCTAATCCCAAATTCTCTAACTCGAGGCACAAAATTCATTTAATCCTCCAATAATATATAGTAGAGTTTTGTCTACTTTTCTCCATTTCAAATTTTCTGCAACGAGAGTGAAAGTAGTAAGGGTATTTTTGTCTTTACAATTAATTATTTATTTCATATAAAAAATGTCAATATCAGGATTTGAACTCGGATCTCTTCAAACAAAGACAACAATAACGACAAATTTGTTTAGTGTAATTACACTAAACAAATTTGTCGTGTCCTTTTTAATACAAAACATACACGAAGTGACACTCTAAAAATTGGTGGACTATTCCATCATGATTAGCAAATCCACTAAGCCTACCGTATATATTTTTATGGTGCTTGATACTGCAATTTTCATAGCAGAGTTTCATCTATTTTTATGGAAGAGACTAATTCTATTACTACGTGTTGTGTCCTTTCATTTTTCAATTAATATTTAAATTTAGTACTTTTTATCTTTGTTCTTAACTCTTTCTAACTTCCTCTAAAATTCTCTCCATCGTGCAATAGATTTCTCCCCTTTCACTTTACAAATCCGCCTTTGAAAATCAATCTTCTGGTATCTCTTTGCACTACGATTTTATTGTTAGGGATTTAAACTGGGCAAGTAGAAGATTTCAACTCCGATATCAATCCATGGCGAATAGAATGGAGTTCAATAAATGGAGTTGCAAAATGAGTATTAGAAATTGAATTTTTTGTTGAAAAATACGCCTCTTGAGATTGAAGTTAAAGTTGATAAAAATTTGACTGTACAATAGAGAGTGGTGGCTATTGGATCTTTAGGTTTATGATTTTTGAAGATATCACAACTTATTTCTATCTTAAAACGAGGAATCATTGATTGATTTACTGAAGTAGGTCGGTCGATTCTTTATTCAACCTACTGGGACTGATAGATGAGGAGTGTCTAATTTTGTTCCTTATACTTTGATAGAGTCTATTAGTATATTGGAGTTAACCCTAATTTTGGCGTTTCCTCTCAAGTTTTTATGGTCTCCTCTTAGCTCAATTGTTAGTATATAGTTGACTTGATCAACAAATCTCTGTTTCTTTTTTATTAGTAGCATATTGTTCCTAAAATGAGAGCATTGAACCTTTATGTAGGAATGTCATGTTTAAGATTTAGTTTCAAACTATCTATGGTTCGTGTGCAAATTTCAGTGAGCTTTTCTACTCTATCTTCTTGACAATCAACTAACCAATAGCATTTTACCGAGGACTTAATTATCATTATGAAAATGAGATCAATAATACATTTTTTCATATTTAATATTCTTAAATGATGATGAAATTTCTCCAAATGTTTGACATATATATTCTTTCTTTATTTATCATCTCGATCGATAGATTGTCAATAAAATTACATGGGTTTATAAATATAAATAATCAAATATGAATATTCCGGCCAACGGGCGGGTTATAAGCTAGTCTAAAAAATAATAATTGCTTGTTCTAATTCAGTGAAATATATTGAAGTGCAAATAACAAGTGTGAACACGGGCGTATATCGTACGTCAGGTATATGTTGTACGTCTGTGTTCACACTATCGTACACTGGTCGAGTTTTACTATTTACAACACGAATTAATGGGATATTGGGGGATGATACTATACCCTAACCTCTAATGAGTGAACACAATCCCTAATTCTCTAATCCGAGCCACAAGATTCATTTTATCTATAAAAAAAATAATCGACGTTCTGATTCAGCGAAATATATTGACGTGCAAATGACAAGTTTGAACATGGGCGTCAGGCGTACGCTAGTCTTTGCCATATATATATATATATGGTGACTACTTCGGTGCACTCACAAAAATGAGTGCGTTCAATGCGCCCAAATCAAAAACTAGTCTTAAGGTATTGGATTTTGAATTTTAATTTGTAGATTAGTGTAATATGATGATATAACATATGATAACAACTAATTAGTGGATTATCCTAAGCCCTAGACCTCCAATTTTGAGTTCTATCCCTAAACCCCAAATTGTAAACCCTAACCCTAACCCTAAATCTCTAAACTCTAAATCCTTCAAATTAAAGTAAATCTTTAATGATTTTTATGCAAATTCATGTGCGTTATTGTTCATCACATCATAAGTGATGATTGACATCATTTTGACATAAATCACATGTTTAAAATAACGGTTATGAAGCGAGTGCACTGAATGCACCCAAAAAAGTGAGTGCACCGAATACGCCACCATATATATATATATATATGGGGAGTTCTACGGTACCTAGGGTGAAATCCCGGGTACCGCATACCTTGAGTATGAAAACGCTATCCAGGACTTGAATTGACTTATCTTTCGGACATGATACTGTACTCTAACTCTTAAAGATAAAAATCTAGGTCTTAATTCTCTAAATCTTATACCCCAAGATCAATTTAATTAGAAACAATAATCGACGGTTATGATTCGTCCAAATATAGGCAAAAAAATCAATGCATCATCTTAGGATTTATAGTTTATGATTTAGATAATTAGGACCTAGGGTTCACTCATTAAGGATTATGGTATAGTATCATGTCCAAAAATCCTGCTTATTCGAGCTCTAAATAGCGTTTTCATACTCAAGGTATGCGATACCTCGGATTTCACCCGGGGTACCGTAGAAGACACCATATATATATATATATATATATATAGTGATGACTGGTGTACGTCAGGCGTATAGTATACGTCAGGTGATTTAGCCGTTAGATGTTGTTAGATGAGCTCCGGCCGATCTCAACGGTCATTTTTTTGTTTTTCATTAAATCAAACTTCGGGTTAGAGTTTAGAAACTCGGTGCCTGGGGTTTATCCATTAGAGGTTAGGGTATAGTATCATACCCCAAACTCGATTTAATTCATGGTCTAGATAGAGATATCTCACTAGTAGTACCTGACGTATAGTATACGTCTGACGTATGGGTCACACTCGTATGGTCCAAACGCATAGCATGCTACGGTCTTCTTACATCGTTGATCTAATCTAACATCTAATATTAGTAATAATTAACTGATTTATTAATTATAATTTATAGACATTTAGTTGGTTCCATTATTTTTTTATACGTGCTCTTTAGTCCCTATACATATTTATTCATCTTCTTTTTGTATTTTATACCAGATTTTCTTCTAATCACTTGTTTATCACCCAATTTTTTCATTCTATCTATTTTGTTTCATCTCACAACTCTTATTTGGGTCTTTAAATCCAAATCCATCTTTCATTATTCTCAGTTGACGAACCATCTCCTCACTCATTAACAATCATCAAATCTCCTCCCTAGACAACGCCAATCGCTGTAAATTCCATCTCCTGTCAAACAAATTGAACCCCACTGCCGCCGCCCCCATCGAATTCCTCCCTAGGTCGTAAATCCCGTTCAATTGAATCCCCTCTTCACCGGAGCACCGCCACCATAGTGAATTCACCAGCATTTTCTACAGGTGGTAGGAGGGCTGATCGGAGAAGGAACTTCAATGTGGAGACGTATTAATACAAAATCGATGATGATTGTAGTACCCAATCATTTTCATAGATCTAGGGGGTGGTAATCAATAATCCGGTATCAGGTATAACCGGTTACCAATGGTATACGGTAGACCGTTTACATTCGGTATTGGCATTTGGCAGATAAATATTGGTGACGGTAATACCGAAAAATAAATGGTATATACCGACGGTGAGACGGTATACTGCAATATCGGATGCCCCATGCCGATCACTTATTCCCGGGGAAAACGACAGTGAAGTGCCCCCAAAATTGTCAAATTGCTGACGCCAACCCTAATTTCCAACTTCACGCCTTCACCTCCCCTTCCAGCCTCCACGCCGCGGGATTCTCTTTTGTCCCGAGCGAGTCTGTTCCCGTCTTCCTCTTCTCTTCACCACCAGCCACCATTGGAGCGGAGAGGTACGTCATCATTGCTTGAAGCCTCACCGCCGAGCTTCAACCGTCGCCAAGTAATCGCCGAGTTTGTGGGAAGAGAAGTCGTATAGGACGAATGACGAGGACGAGTGGCGGTGCAAACGAGTTTGACTGACGAGGACGACTGACGGGCAGCGACACAAGCGATTCCGACATAGACGATTCTTCCCAATTCCGACGCGTTCGATTCTGACTGGTGGTGGAGTTTCTGAAACTCATGAACGAAGGGGGCTTGCAATCGTCCATCACGTGGGCGTTACATTTTTATGGGGCCTATATACTACCAGAATTGAAACATATGGTATGCTTTTGATTCTACTCCAAGCATTAAAGTCCTGCACTCATACCGCTATTGCTCAATATTTTGTAAATCTAGTTTTCGAGTTCACAAAGAGTGATTTGATCTTTGTTTATCATTTCCTCCTGTGG